TCTCTCTCTCTCTCTCTCTCTCTCTCTCTCTCTCTCTCTCTCTCTCTCTGTTACATGCTGCGCCTGCAAACGAGGGCCATTTTCCAGGCCCTGCGTCCCTCAGGCCGAAAGCCTGAAATTCAGGCTGAAAGCCTGAAAACCAGGGCCTACAGGCCCCGTGACCATTCAGCTCAAAAGCCTGAAATCCAGGGGCCTACAGACCCTGTGTCGTTTCAGACTAAAAATGGCAGCAGCCTTTTTAGCCTGAAACGAAGGGCCATTTCCGTTCTGTCATCAGACCGGCCTGCCCTGAAACTCAAGGCACCGAACCAGGGTCTTAGGAACAGACTATTTTTGGCCTGTTCCCACGACAGCTGCAGCGCCAGCCCCTGGCTCAGCGTGGCATTGGCAAGAGCAGCCTCCTGGACTGCCCGCCCTGCAACTGCAGGCAGTCGAAGGCAGTCAGGAGGCAGGCCGAGGTATTACATAGGGACTTCCCATGCACTTCGCGGGGAGGCAGGAGGCTGTAATGAAGCCTGCAGATTCTCGGTGGACTGTACAATAGGCCGAGGGCGAAGCTCGGGGCTTGCCTCGGTCGGGTTGTATCTTAGGTTAGATTCGTAATTTTGTTTGGCTGAGGGCTAACCGAGTGACCTACCTGTGAAGGAAAAGCGTGAGGGACATATCTGCAAATCCGGGAAAATACAGGCCCGGTACTAACAGGTTTCCCTACAGCTACCTAACTGCGCATAGCAGGCCCGGGCTACCCTAGGACAGACAGGCCCTAAGGGCCTATTCTGATAGACGGTCCTATAGCCTATAGCCGGGTTCGGTAGAGGCCGAGAGGCCGAAACAGAAACGGTACCGGTCGGTCAGTCAGTCCGGTCTAGGTCGGTGTAGGCTAGTTGTAGGATGGGCACATCGGTTCAGGGCTTTTGGCAGTTGGTACCGAGTACATCGCTGCTGCGCTACACGTGAACCGGAAGTGGTGACGGCTCAGCGTGGAAGGAGACGGGCATAGCCAGACCTTCGGAGTGCAGGCCATAGCTGGGACCTGCGCTGTACTCTGCGAGCACGTAGGGGCTGACAGAGGTCTGGGATATCGAGGTCTGCTGGAGGCGAGAGAGATTGGTGCCCCTGCTGGACCCTCCTCCGGAGTGGGGTCCCAGAGGGTTTGCGCTGCAGTCATAGCTGCAGCTTCTTCATCTAAGAGGTCATCTTGTCAGGGTTTGGTGGCGCTGCTGCAGACTTCCATCCGGGAAGTCTCCCGACACTTCGTCATCATGAGATACTATGGCGCTGGTCTTCTTCTTCATCCTCTGAGTGGCGCTTGGCCTCATAGACCTGTTTCAGGGTGGCGCTGCCCCTAGGAGGCTGTATCTGGGTGGCCCTTGATGATTCAGGGGCTCAGGGGGTGTCACGGGTGTTATTCAGGGTTGGGGAAGTTACCTTGACAATTCGAGACTCTGAGTTTAAGAAACAGTGTGATACTGTGTTTGGACTATCATCGTTTCATTGTTCTCTAGATGTGATCTGCTCGGCTTTTCTCTATGACTGGTTGTGAGGATTGAGTGGCGTGTATTGCACTTCCAGTGTACCCTGTCATATCGCATGGTCAAGTCTTCCGCTGTGTTTATCTCTCCCTGTGCGGTGTGATACTCCTATCCTCTCCCCTTCCTTCTGTGTATGTATGGGCATACCTGGAAGTCTATGTGAGTGAGTGTTGGCCTACAGGCAACGAACAACCAGAATCATAACAGTTGGTATCAGAGCAATTGGATCCAGGCTCTGGAGCGATTGATGAGTTGGAGCACCCATCATCATCTGGCGAGATACTGGAGTTGAGTTTCATGGCGATTCATCATCTTCAGGGTTGTTGTCAGTGAGGGTGATGGTGGTGAGTGTGTGGCGAGAAGCAACAGGCAAAGTGTGACTCACTCCTGACTGGGATTGTGCAGGAGTGGTTGGCGTTTGACACTCAGAGGCCTGGGAGGCTCTGAGAGGCTAATTATAGTTTGGCGATTCACCTGGAGGTTGGCAATTATCAGGGAAGTGATCCCAGGAGGTTGCGATTTTGAAATTGGGTCAGGATCCCCAATTTCCAGGCAGCGCAGTACAGGGTGATGTGGCGTTGCACTGACTTTGTCAGTTATTGACACCTGGGAGTTCGAATTCTCTGAATCTGTCAGTTGGGGGTGAAGCGCCTCAGGGAAATCTACAGGATCACCAAGTTTGAGGCAATTTGGTACGTGGGAACACTGTACACTGTCAGGAGATGAAACTGGCGAGATGGGGTTGACCAGTCAACCATAGCCAAGGTTTCATGCATCTTCTTCAGAGTTGACCCTGAAGTAAGTGTGTTCCTTACTCCATCCTGTGTGGCGATTCTGGGGCTATTTTTAGAACAGTGAAATTCGGTCTGTCTGTCAGGTGAGAGTTGAAAATCGAAATCCAGACTGTGGGACAGCCATATCCAACTTCCCCTACCTATCTTCTTTGACTTCTACTAACCCTGTTTGACCTTCCCTCTGGCTCATATTCCATCTAGGACTGCTTTACAGTATTGCGATTCACACTGTGCAGTGAATTGGTGGATTCAGGGGTCTGTTGTCAGTGATATTGCAAATTTGAATTCTGCGCTGACATAGCCAAAGCTAGGCTAGACTAGGGTCAGTCATAACTTTGATTCTATCCGCCGGAATTCAGTTCTGTCAGTCCCTGGTAAATCGCAATTCACTATTCTAGCAGTGTCTGAAATCACACATCCAGATTTGATGATTTGAGTCAGTTACAGCGAAATCTGTAATTCGCCATACCCAGGGTATGGCATACAGGGTCATACAATGTTGAGGTCTGTAGGGTAAGTCTAAAAGTAGGCCATCCTGTAAATCGCTGCATCTTGGTCATCTGTAGAAACTTGTCTAACCCTAATTAGTCACTCTGTTTGATTGCTAATCAATACTAATTAGTCCAAGACTGCATCCTGTCAGTTGCTGATTCAGGATTTGCAATTATTGCTTGCAATTGTTGTGTCAGGGCAGGGATGGAAAAATCGTGAAATTGGTTTTTGCCTGAGTGGACTCTTAACTGACCCTGACCCTCAAGCGGTCTGCTGAGACTGAGCACTCACTTGCTCAGACTAACCAATCTTCTCTCTCCAGGCAGGTGACAACAATTGAATTAGTACTACAGAGAACAATCAATTCTTGTTACCTCCTGCTTTGTCTTCAGTATTTGTTTGTTTTTATTTATCTGTATTGTGGGGAGCAAAATGGCGGACTCGGGGAAGGCAGTGGTGCCTGAGGGAGTTGAAAGTTCCGGGGAGACACCCCAGGTAAAGCTTGAAATGAAAGTGCAGCCTGCAACACCTGTGCCACTTGACCCTTTAGAGGCTGAACTGCGGGCCCAAGAGGAGAAACTCCGCTTGCAGACCCAGGCAGTTGAGAATCTAAAGGCGGAGCTCAAGAAGAAGGAAGAGGCTGCTCAGAAAGAGGCCAGGAGAAAGATCTTAATTGCAGACATGCAGAAGATCATGGGCAGCGGTTCTACCAGTCAGGTCAGTAAGGATATGGCGGAATTCATCCTTTTACAGGATGATATTCACCGGTCCTACTTCACTAACTGGGATGACCGGATCTCTAGTCTGGAGACCAGTCATTCAGCTTTGTCCAAAAAGCTGGATGACATTTCTGCCCAGTTGAACAGCATCGTGACACATCTGCAGATTGCACCTGTTCAGACTGTTCCTCCACCTCCTGGCCCTTCTGCAGCAGACACCCAAAAGACCCCACAATCCAGACCTGCAACTCCACCCTCTACACCCAGATCAACAGCAGCTTCACAACCCTCGTCACCATTTGAGTTTCAGCGGCCTAAGCTGACACCGCCACCCACGTTCTCAGGAGAGGACCCAAAGGTGGATGTGGCAGACTGGGTTGCTGCACAGAGAACCTACCTGAGTGGGTTCAAATGTGATGAGGATGTGAAGGTGTCAGCCATCCTTGCTCGCTTGGAGCGATCAGCACTGAAGTGGTGCACCTCTACCTCCAGCAAGCAAGGTATGGAGATGGCTGATTGGGCGCAGAGGGTGGGGGTGGCTGGATTTCTGCAGGCCGTGCAGGACCGGTTTGCAGACAAGGAGCAGGCCAGAAAGGCAGCAGACAAAATTGTGCGCCTGGGCCAGAAGAAGTTTGATGGTTCCTTGTCCAAACTGTATTCCACCTTTGAGAGTCTGACATCGACTCCTGGGTTGGAGATGAGTGAGCAGGATCTGCTCATTCATTCCTAAGGGCAGCGCTTGAGCAATTCCAGCTTGCTCTTTTCTCTCAGGGCCACAAGGACTGGCGGTCCTTTGGCAGAGCAGCCCTGGACTTGGAGTCCAAACTCCATGTCCAAGAAGCACCTTCTGAAGGAAGGAAGGGACCCTCCTCCAAAGGGCGAAGAAGGAGAAAGGGTGCCCCTGTTTGCTGTTGCAGCATCCGGATCAGATAGTGACGCACCATCCCAGGGTGGGAGCCCTCCACCTGGGACTGCATCATCATCTGCTGCAGATTCAGCTGTTCTTGCCCTGGCTGATGCCTTGATGGGCCTGGCAAAGGGCAAGGCCCCGGCCCAGAAGGCACCAACCAGCAGCAAGGGGAAAGGTAAGGGACGTGCCTCTTCCCCTGGTGCCCAGAGAGTGCCATTGCCACGTTACGTCCGCTGGCCAGCTGACCCCCTTGATGCTTCCACCTTCCCCTGGCATGAACTCAGGATCCAGGAGGGAGTATGGAGGAAGAGGAAGGACAAGGGTGTCTACCTGAGATGCGAGGGGGACCATTATCTCAAGGATTGTCCCCATATGCCTCGCAGGCCTTCATGCTCGAACTAGAGAGAGATGTGGAGTTTGCAACTCCTTCCACCAATGATGATTCCTCTTCTGCTGAAGTTGAATCTTCACTCTCCCTAGCTTGTTCATTTAGGAGTTGCCGTATCAGAGTCCTTCGACACTGATTTGTAGCAAGTCTAGGGATGGCACAAGTGAGGGTCGCATCCCCTTTTACTTGTGACCTAACTTCTCTGAGGAGACGTTTCCTACTTCCCTGGACAAGCGTATCTGTGTTGCGTCGTCAAAATTTGCTGATTCAAATTTTGGCCATACTCAACGTCCTGACTAGTGTTAACTGCTGATTTGGCAAGTTCTCCCCGTCTTGATGCTGAGTGGTATGAGCCATTGCTCCAGGCTTCAGCATCCTGCCCCTGACTCCTTGTCTGTTAGACAAGTTGAGCCCTAGCAGGACTGACACTGGCAGCCTGGGTGTTTATGTCTTATGCTCCACCATGTTGAGGTTGCTTGTTTTACTCGCAATCTCTTATTGCAGTCCCTCAGTCTAGAATGGTCTCCACTGTACCACTCTACTGATCGACTGCACTTGGTTCCATGTCTACTAGGGGTGAATACCCGGACCGACGACTATGGCCCAATGTCTAGGTAGCTCAGCTTTTCAGCATGGTCGATTGCACTACAGTCGGGTGCCAAGTCTTACTGTGGTCATTTGACGCAATCGAGACCAGCTGACACTCTGAGTTCTCCTGACATCACTGTTTATAGTGCTGGTCATGAGTACAGGAGACCGGACTGCAACAATAGGGCATCACCTACGGAACCTCAACTTTTCAGAAGTGGTCGATTGCGGGACAGTCAAGGACCAGGTCTTACCGTGGTTTCTTGATGCAGTCGAGACCAGCTGACACTTTGAGGTTACCTCCTCCTGACCTTGCTGTTCGCAGCTCTGATCAGGGGCATAGGTTACCCCGCGAGTCTCTCAGGCTCTCCTCTTCAGGCAAGAGTTCTATCTCTACACCCACTTCGTCTGCTGGTTCATTACCAGGAAATGAAGTGTGGGCGCGGAGGTCCGCTCTCCCCGGGGGGGGGTAAGTATGTAATGAAGCCTGCAGATTCTCGAGTCCAGCAGTGCACCCTCTACCCGCCAATTGGAGGAACGAGTTGACCACGTCGTCGCAATGCTCGGCGACATCAGCACCTTCGCTGCACCAACCACCATCAGCAAGCAGCTGGACACCTTGAAGACCGAGGTTCAGCAACTGCACCAACTGCCCAACAAGGATGGCAACACCACGCAGCACTACAAGATGCCAACATTCCGCATCGAAAAGTTCGATGATTATACGCATCAAGACCCGGTCCCTTGGTGGGAGGGCTTTACAACGGAATTCTTTTCGTCCCCGAGCACTCGTACATCGGCGCGCTGTTCCTCAACTAAAAGGGCGGATGCCAGATCTGGCTTAGCCACCTGACAACCATCCACGGCGTCGACGTCGCCGATCTGCATACGAAGATACCTTGGGCAGATCTGACGAAGCTATGGAAGAAGCGGTTCATCGTGGACGACGCCCCGGCGCTCGCCATCAACCGCCTCTTCGCTATGACGCAAGGCAACACATCGACACGCGACTGTCTCACGGAATGGCAAAAGATCGCGGCGACGCCGGATCTCGAATTGCCATTTTCTCATCTGCGTCGGGAGTTCTACAACCGGTCATGTGCCGCCTTGAGCCTTGCACTTGGTGATCGTGAGCAATACACGACCTTCGCCGAAATCATCGACAAGGCAAGGGAGATCATCAAGACCAATAGGGCGGCTCCACACGAGAAGTCGGCATGGCAGCCAACCTATGTGGAGAAAGGTAAATTTGGTCCGCGTCAGCAGCATGTCGCTGCAGTCCACACGGACAACATTGTGGAAGACCCAGCAGTCACCCAAGCATCACGTGAGGGAGATCAGGTGGCTGCTGTCCAGCCGCGAAGCAACAACAACTCCCGAGGAAAAGGGAAGGCGAAAACCGCATCGCCGGCTGGAAACGGACAACCAGCACCATGGGTCAAGTTTCACTTGACCGAGGCCGAATACAAGTGGCGCGGCTGGTATGGCTGTTGCTATTGGTGAAACAGCACCAAGCACAAGACCTCCCAATGCCCGGATCAAGGCGAGGAGAATGTTCGGCCTCGCATCAACTCGGGAAACTAAGTTGCGCGGGAGGTGAGGCGACTCCACCTCTCACTCCGCCAGATTCGGTCGCCTTGCTAGCGGCCTCCTACACATCTGGGGAGGATGCGAATGTCGCAAGTCCTCGGTTCACTTACGAGGATTATGCTGTCCACTTGGTCCCACCGTTGGACCAACCACTCCACGTGCAACAATCCACCGCATGCACGGTTTCACTACCATCGGCAACCGAGTCGGCAACTTCGCCGCCATCTATCGCCGGGGATTCGACGACCTGGTCAAGACTTGAAGAGCTCGACCCGTTGACGTTTGCAGACTTCCAATGGATGCCCCTTCCCCGGTCCGGTCGATTGCCGAAACCGCATTGCAACGTGCTCATGGTACACTTGCAGGATTACTTGCACACTGCAGTACCAACTCCGTTGATGGACGCCGGAGTCGAGGTTGTTGACCTTCACGCCTATATTGCGAAGATCGACCGCGAGTTCAAGACACAACGGTACGACGACATCGACGCACCATTGTTGTACATACACATTCAGATCGGAGAGGCGACCTGCAGCACTTTGATCGATTGCGGAGCTACTCGCAACTACATGAGCCAAGACTTTATGGTATGCGCTGGCCTTGGGCCACGCGTTCGGAGGAAGTCGCAGCCCACGCAAGTCACGTTGGCCGGCGGTCACACGCACAAGTCAATCGACCGGTGCATTGATGCCGTCCCCGTGTACTTTGCCCCGCATGCAAGCGAGGCCGTATCCTTCGATATTTTGGACACCAAGTTCGACATGATCTTGGGCATGTCATGGCTGTGAAGCGAGGATCACCCGATGAACTTCTAACGCCGCACCGTTCACGTTCGTGATCGGAACGGAGTACTAGTCCCATGCACGGTGCCTCCTCCTCACCCTTCGATCAGCTGCCACGTGGTGTCCGCCGCAAGCATTCGAGCTTCCATCATCCGGGATGACATCGCGGAGATGGGGGTGTGTTTTCTCCAAGCCCTCCCGCCCCAAGACATTCCATCGACGGACTCACCACCGGACCCACGCATCACCGAGCTTCTCGACGCCTACGGTGACGTGTTCGAAACACCACACAGAGTAGTACCGGATCGGCCCATCCGCCACGAGATTATCCTCGAGAACGGGGCCGTACCTCCGCGTGGTTGCATCTACCGCATGAGCGAGGAAGAGTTAAGTGTGCTAAGGGCACAACTCGACGATCTTCTCGAGAAAGGTTGGATTCAGCCTAGCTCTTCGCCATACGGTGCTCCCGTTCCCTTCGTCCGGAAGAAGAACAAGGAGTTGCACTTGTGCATCGATTATCGCAAGCTCAATGCGCAAACCGTCAAGAATGCCGGCCCTCTTCCGCCCATCGACGACCTCCTCGAACGACTGGGCGGCGCCAAGTTCTTCTCCAAGCTTGACCTCAAATCGGGATATCACCAACTCGAGATCCGGCAGGAGGACCGCTACAAGACCGCGTTTAAGATGCGATATGGGCATTGCGAATGGCTGGTTATGCCTTTTGGCCTTACGAATGCCCCGGCCACATTCCAAGCGGCTATGACAACGGAGTTCCGACACATGCTGGATAGATTCGTACTCATCTACCTCGACGACATCTTGGTGTACAGCCGGAGTTTGGACGAGCATGTGGAGCACCTGCGCACCGTTTTGGAGCGGCTACGACAAGCCAAGTACAAAGCCAACCGCGACAAATGCGAATTCGCACGACAAGAGCTGGAGTACTTGGGACATTATGTGACGCCGCAAGGCATCCGTCCGCTTGCGGACAAGATCGAGGCCATCCGCATATGGCCCGAGCCCACCAACATCACGGACGTTCGCTCATTCATGGGGTTGGAAGGCTACTATCAACGCTTCATCATCGGGTACTCAAGGATTGCCGCACCTATGACGAGATTACAATCGCCAAAGGTGCCATTCGTATTCGATGACGCCGCACGCTGGTCATTCCAAGCACTCAAGATGGCCATGCTCATGGCACCCATCCTTAGCATCTACGACCCCACCCTGTCAACGAGAGTGACAATCGACGCTTCCGGCTATGGCATTGAGGCAGTCTTGGAATAACATGACGGCAGCGACTGGCACCCTATGGAGTATTTCAGCCACAAAGTGCCTCCCATCAATTCACTTGATGATGCAAGGAAGAAGGAGCTTCTCGCGTTCATGATGGCTCTCAAGCGATGGCGGCACTTCCTCCTTGGGCGTCGTAGGTTCACATGGGTCACCGACAACAACCCATTGACCTACTACAAGACGCAGGATACGGTGAGCAGCACGATCGGACGATGGATGTACTTCATCGACCAATTTGACTTCACACCGAAACATCTCCCCCGCCTCTCCAATCGCGCAGCAGATGCACTCTCACGAAGACCCGATCTTTGCGCTATGACACATCATGCCTTCGCATTTGACGAGGAACTCCAACGACACTTCATCCAGGGCTATGAGTCCGATCCGGATTTCGCCACGTTGTATGCGCAACTATCTTCTGATCACCCGCCGGCCAGCCATTATCGCATCGTCGACGGGTACTTGCTCCTCCATTCGAGAGGCAAGGACTTATTGTGTGTCCCACGCGACCGTCGTCTTCGGACTCGCCTTCTCGGTGAGTACCATGACTCGCGACTCGCCAGCCATTTTGGATTCAATCGCACTATTGCACGACTTCGGCAACGATTCCGATGGCCTCACCTCATTACCAATGTCACTCGGTATTGCGACTCTTGCGAAGTTTGTCGACGAAGCAAGCCCCGCAACCGCAATCCCTACGGCGAGTTGCGCCCGATGCCTCTCCCATGGACGTCACCGGTCCGTTTCCCCGCGACCGGCTCGGGCACGACGGCATCCTCACGGTCGTTGACCGTTATAGTAAGTATGCACGATTTCTTCCTTGCAAGTACTACGCCACGGCTCCCGAACTTGCGCGCCTCCTACACACCAACTGGATTTGCAGCCACGGCGTGCCGGAAGACATCGTCAGCGACCGCGACACTCGCTTCATGTCGGCATTTTGGACTTCTCTCATGCAGGAATCCGACACGAAGATGAAACCAAGTTCTGCTCGGCATCCACAAATGGACGGGCAAACGAAGCGGGCACATCAAACCACTCAAATGCTGCTTCGTACGCTCATCCGTCCGGATCAGAAGGATTGGGTTGACCGCCTCCCCGACATCGAGTTCGCCTACAACACTTCGTTGCACCCGGCGATCGACGTAACTCCATTCGAGTTGCACCACGGTGGCCGAAAGGCCGTATCTTCACTGATCTTCTCCTCCCACGAACAGCCGACATAGACGCTGCTTGGTCCCCCGCTTCCGTTCGGAAGTACAGGGAATTGCTGGCTCAAGCCCGCGCGAACATGCAAAAGGCTCAAGTCCGCATGCAGCAGCAAGCCAACAGGCATCGCGTGCCATGTCCCATCCGTGCCGGTGATCTGGTGTGGGTCTCCGAGGAAGAGTTTGCACTCGAACAGGATGTTTCACGCAAACTGCTTCCCAAGTGGTTTGGACCATGGCCCGTAACATCAGCCGCGGGTGATGAGCCCGATGGCCCCTCATTTGTCATCAACATTCCCCCGCATCTGACGGTTCATCCAGTCTTTCACGCCTCGAAGCTGGCAACATATACACCAGCCAAGAGCGACGACTTCCCGGGCCGAAGATCGCAAGATCCTCCATCTATGGATGGTCATCAGGAGGTTGACCGTGTCATCACGGATCGCAAGTACGGCACCAAGCCTCCACAGTACAAAGTTACATTCAAAGCATGCGATCCCGACGACACTCGGTGGATTTCAGGAACAGATTTGAAAGCATCCGCACCGCTGATCTACGCTCACTACAAGCGACAAAGGTTAGCTCAGGGACCTTCACGACCTGCCCCTCCCACCCGGACTGTGGTCCCTCCCTCAGACAGACAGCTTCGCCCTCCCAGGTAAGCTCGGTCTTTCAAGGAGGGGGGGGTGTGGCATACTGCGCAGCCACACGGGCCTGCATGGCCTGTCCCGCAGTCTCAGCCTAAAAGCCTAGAAACAAGGGCTTACAAGCCCCGTGTCGTTTCAGCCTGAAAGACTGAAAAACGAGGGCCTGCAGGCCCTATGTCGTTTCAGGCCCTGAGTCTTTTCAGCCTGAAACAGAGGGCCACTTTCGGGCCCTCATAAGATCGACCGGCCCTAACACTCAGGCACCAAACCAGGGTTTCGGAACAGGCTATTTTTGGCCTGTTCCCCACGCCAGCCTCATCAGGAGCTGCAGCGGCAGGCCCTGGCTCACTTCGGCATTGGCAAGAGCAGCCTCCTGGACTGCCCCGCCATGCAGCTGCAGCCAGTCAGGAGGCAGGCCGAGTAGTACATAGGGAGTTCCCATGCACTTCACGGGTAGTCAGAGGCCGAGGCAGTAGTAGTCTTCAGGATTCGACATTTTGACGAGGGACTATTTGGGCCTGTGCCGAAGACTTGGTGTTGACGACATTCCCATCTTCCCCTCTTCTTCGTCTAACCCCCCTCTTCTTCGTCTGTGTATGGTTGGGGCTGGCACATTCTTCCTGTGTGAGCGCCAGACCCCTTCACACCATGGAGTGATGATGATGATGTATGTTCGGGGCTGCATTGCAATATTGATTGTTCGGATCATTGGTATCTAAGTCTTCCGCTACGCTATCTTGTACTTTGTGAGAGAGGTCGGTTCTTGGTCTGGTCTGCACCGTTACAGTATGCAACAGAGAGCTTGGTGACATTGGATCCAGACTCGACTTTTGGGCTTCAGACATTGCGACGAGGGATTATTTGGGACTTGTGACAAAGACTTGGTGTTGACGACATTCCCATCTCTCCCCCTCTTCTTCGTCTGATTCCCTCCTCTTCGTCTGTGTATGTCTGGACCTGGCGCTTTCTTCCTGTGTACAGCGCCAGGCTCCTTCACACCTTGTGATGGACACGGTGCATGTTTGGTCTGCGTTTAAACATTGATTGGGCTAGTCATTAGCATTCTAGCATTCTGCTTTGCTATCTTGTACTACGTGAATGAGGTCAGTCTCGGTCAGGTCAGGATTTGTATCTTAGTCTTCCCTGTGCTATTCAACACCATTTTGTATGTATCAGAATGCACATTGCTTGTTGAGATTCTACTTGCACTGCATTGTACATTCAGTCCTTTTTAGCACATTGCGGATCCTCGGTTTTGTATGTACATCGCGCAACTGAGCATGTAACACTCTCTCTCTCTCTCTGTCTCTGTCTCTCTCTCTCTCTCTCTCTCTCTCTCTCTCTCTCTCTCTCTCTCTCTCTCTCTCTCTCTCTCTC